AGGGAGGCAGAGGCACATGTGAGAGTCCACGAGGAAACACACACTTGAGGGACAGAAATATGCAGATATACAGAGGAAACAAGATGGCTACAAGTCTCGAGAGACAGAAGATGGCTGCTTCAGTTGTGGTGGTTTCTAGTCCCTGTGCTCAAACCCTGAGGCCTGAGTGTCTATCTTGGGATTCCTATGAACCACACTCTATCCTTACAATAAACTCCCCTTTACTTAAGTTGGTGGTCCCTGGGTGGCACAAGTGGTTTGCAGTTGGCTACTTACCTGAAGGTTGGCCATTCTAACCCACCCAGCAGTGCTGCAGAAGAAAGGCCTGGTGATCTGCTTCTGTAAAGATTACAGCCAAGCAAACCCTATGGAGCAATTCTACTCTGTCACACATGGGGTAGTTGGAATCAACTCAACAGCCAGTGGGTTTGGTTGGTTGTTTTTTTGACCAAGTGCCAAGCATAGTACCAAGCCCTGGGGCTATAAGCAGAGAACAAAACAGACCCTGCCCTTGCCCTCAGAGAGCTCACAATCTAAACCTTGCAGATTAGGTTAGGCAGGGCCTGGTGGGCCAGAGTGGGGACTTTGGAAGACCAAAGGGAAGTTATTGAAAGGCTTTAGCTGGCAGAGCTGGCTGCCTCTGCCCCTCCACACCAGCCAGACTCATCCTGTGTTAATGGCCTTTCCACGGCGCACTGGGGAGGGGAGTCTGGTTAGCCCTGGGGCTTAGGCTCTGGCCCTTGGCCACCCGTCTGCAGTGAGCCAACTGCTCAGGCTAGGCTGGGCAGTCTCCCGGGATTGGGACTCCAGCTGGTAGAGGGAGGCCAGTGGGTGGGTGATCGTTAATTACAGCTTTGAGCCCTGTGCAACACCACTACCTGCTGGGCTGCTGAGAGGACAAGTGTCACGCAGCAGAAGCAGTAGGAGTTCCATAGGGAAGCACTCCAGAGTGAAAGCCTTAATAACCCCATAATCAGAGTAATGAAGATGAATCACACCTTGTGCTGCCTGCCCACTCCTTCCTCTATGCCTAGCAGGCAACATCAGGCAGTCAGAAACTCCCCTTTACCCAGAATGAGCAAGGCATGTTAAAGATCATGAAAACGGTGAAATTTCTTGGCT